TCATTTACCGCAAGAGAGTGGTATGAACTTTCTTTAAAACACTCGCCTGCGTCTTTCAAAGCCGTGTCATATAAAGGAGGCTGTTCTTGAGAGAAGGGCATAAAATAAGCATCCCTACCAATTTGTTGAATTCACCGAAGGTTTGTTGCGGTTCTTGTTCATTAAAGAAATGGCTCATACTCATTATATGAGTAATGCTTGTCACTTGCATTGGCAGCTTGTGCATCGCACATTTGAACATTTAGTTCTCACGCCACCCCAGTGGTCATAAATGTTTGTCTTTTTCTTCAATCCTCTTTCGCAATACCGTTGTTGTTACTACTCCAAGTAGTGCTGTACGTGGAACATAAGAACGGAGTTGCACTAAAGAGGAAAAGGGACACGTAGGGGCACGTTATTCTGAGAGTCATCAGAAGAGGAGAAGAAGAAAAAGAATGAGGTTGGTGCTCAGCTTAGTTTATAATTCGTAGTTGTGTCTATCAAAAACAAGAGATGGTTTGACCGCTTGCTCAGCAAATATTTTTGTTTTTTGGTAGTATTATTTATAAACTACTTTTTCAGATTGGCTTCATTTTCATTTAAGTTTCATTTAGGTATCCTGCCGCCTGGTTCTTGGACCATCCCCCTCTGTGGGTAAGCGCCATGCATCAGAGGTCATCAGCATCAGCATCAGCATCATCCTGCGTCCGTAGAGCTCTGAGGAACAACCAACCAACCAGAGAAAATGCCTGACGGTGACTGCTGCGTTTTGTGCTCCGGTCCTATCTCCGATACGGAAGACTACAGGCACTGTGAGCACTGTGACCAACGAGCACACGTCAGCTGCATTTCCGTGTCGGCGGAGGAAGAAAATTTACAGGTCCTCTTGGAGCTACAGAACTCCGGTGAAATGAGCTCGTTAGCCGGACCCTCGCCGATGCCTAACGAAGTCTCTTCTTTTTCATCAGCTGTCTCTGTTGAAACACCGGCAGTTGCAGTTCATCCACAGGACTACATGAACGGCAGGCCGGCAGCAGTTCAACATCTGATCCCTAACGCGCAAAGGGGAATTCGGCACCTCGAAAACGAGTTGGCAGACTTGCGTACTAGGAACGAACGCCAGCGCAGCCAGCTTGAATGGAACCGTACTCTGCAAGATCACGGATTTGCTGCAATGCAATTAGAGGTGCGCTCACTACGCGAGGAGTTAGCCAGCGAGCGTGTTCCTGATCCTGTGCGGCCCTCGATGGCCCCGTACGAGTCATCCACTGAGCAAGGGGAGCTTCTTGCTACGCCGCCGGCCGACGGTCCTGCCTTCGGTGACACAGATGACGAAGAAGACTACTAGCTACCTTCGGCATCGAGTGACCTCACCGAGGCTAAAAGGAGGTCCTGACAAAGCTACGTGCTAACTTACGTATCAGTGCTCTTGGAGCCACCGTGGTCCTTGTGGGGCAACAAGACCGTCATCATTTTCTTCATGTTCTTCCTACCGGGGCTCGGCCTTAGCTAACTACTCTGTTGGTGAGCCTGCTGTGCCCATTATTGCCACTGACAATGTAGGCAATGTCTTTTGTATAGTGTGGTGTATGCTTCATGTCACATACAAGGTTTTCTTTCTCAATTTTGTCCTAAATGAACTTTCAGCTCTACTGAAGTAGTTCATGGCGTGAACTATGTATATCTGTCGCGTGGCGTTGAGCCCTTTTGATACATGTGCCATCTGCAATAAAAGCTCAACTTTTCAAAGTTGGCAATAAGGCTATCAGGAGACTAGTCGTACTGTGTACGTAATTCTTTCAGGCTTTAGGGGCAACGTAGAGGCTTCAGTTACTATAAATATAGTTAGTCATTTTGCTCTCTATTTCACAATGGGAAGTGGATATATAAATGGGGCTGACTCAATGAATGTGAGGGCGCCAGATAGAACGTATAGCTAATTATAAGTAATATTAGTGTGTTTGCGGGGTCGCACTCAGACCTAAACACCGCAAACAGTGCAAACGTGAGGATGAGAGGGACACGAAAAATCTTGAGCGAGTGAATGAAAATAGGCGTGAATACGAGAGTGAGGGAGTGCGTATGAGGGACTTTTTAGGATGTGAGTACGACTGGGACCAATGTTTTGTCAGTGTATGTGTCTACATGTGAAAACTGCCGAATTGGAGTTGATTAGAGTATTAATGTAATTGATTGCCAGGTATTGTCAGCGGATGTTAGAGGAGCTGTCGCTCATGCAGTGAACGGGCGTGATCCTGTGAAAGCGAGCGTCCTTCAAAACAAGCGGAGTTTTGACATTTTGGTGAGCGCGAGTGTCCGGAAACGCACACAAGAGTGAAGTGGTAGTAGACTGTTTAGGAATTGACATGAGAGAGTGGTGTGGAAGCCTCTGTGTCAAAAAATCCCGAAGATAAGAGAACCAATATCACTCCACCATTCCTCGCGCCTTTTACATTCGAGCATTTGTAACTGACCATCACGTACACTAAGAAAAGTAAACATTTGATGTCCAAGCAGATCGACTCTGACCACAGGTTAAGTCATTCGATTTCACTTATGCCCATTGATTTGTGAGCTTTCACTGGTTCATACATTCAAACTAGCATAAGTTGCTTGACTCGCATTTGTAACATTTACCTTACGCAGAAGCAGAACAAGCAGCTCTTTGCAGACAAAAATAATTGATAATACAGCTATAGGTGCACATACACCACATAATTTGGCATAAGAATCATCATTTGGAACACTGCAGCAGTCAGAAAATTTTATCAGGCGTTTCTGCAAGACTGTGGAAATGAAAGCTAGTAATCAGTAACGTTAAAAACCAAGTTCTTTTGGATAATGTTTAGGTTTATCGGTCATTCAACAAACTTGCAAATATTGATTTTTCCGTCGCGTGGCACAATAGTTTGCGGGATTGATTTATTTGAAAGGTTTAACACCTCAAGATCACATTATGACTATTAGAGCTGCTTTATAGGAGGATTCCAAAAGTATTGACCACCAGAAGTTCTCTAAAGGAACCGACCATTGATTTTTTTCCAACCCAGTCTTCTCCGAAGCTACTGAAAGCTTACACTTCGCAGTGTTCGCAGCTGCAGTAGGTATTTTCAAAAGCACACAATTTGTTTCATAAGCCCTATTTATTTGTTTTAAAGGTTCTCAACACAGGCGTGCCTTTTTGTTAAGAAACGCTGATAATCGATAGCGATGCCGGCAACCCTTCTAGCGATGCAGGAGTTATAATAGCGATGCTTAACCAAGTTTATTCCTAGCTTTACAACTATTCTTGAAAATAAGGAGGCGTTACAACGAGACGATGTGGTTTTATAAAGCTTCCATTTATTGGAACCGCGTTTCGTGCACCAGCAGCAAAGGCTGATGTGCCTGTCTTGTAAATGGCTTTATATTCTGCTTTTCTGGACACCAGCGGTTTAGTTCGCGTGAACAACACTGTGTGGCGTAACAACCCTAAGGAATTCCAGTCCCCCTATGACATGTGTAGTGATGCATCACTAAATAAAATTCAATCAAAACAAAAGTTGCAGACAAACTCAGGCTGTCGCTACACCACTCTGCGCAGATAAAAGAGCGCGGTTTGTCGGCGTTATATCGACGGCAACAACTGGCAATAAATTGAAAGTTTTTTTTTTCATACCTTGTCAGACAGCTCGTAGCACTCCGTGCAAAATATCTGGCCGTCATAGACGCAACCTTGGTGTGTCGTAAGAAGCGGCCTTTTCTTTGTTTGTTTTTTTTCAACAATACCACATCGACTAATATATTAGAGAAGCCTTCCTGCTATCAGGGTTTCGTATTCACCGATAAAGGTTTACGCTTGGATACGAACAGGACATTGCCGTTATATAATAACCAAAGTTTTGTGTGTACTACTTAAAAGGTTTTGACTGATATGTGGAGTTTAACGTTCTAAATCCGCCATATGATAATAAGAGACGCTGTAGTGGAGGGCTCCGGAAATTTCGACTACCTGTGGTCGTTTAACGTGCGCCCAATTCTGAGCACACGGACCTACGAAATTTTCGCCTCCATCGGAAATGCAGCCGCCGCAGCCAAGTTTCAAACCCGTGACCTGCGCGTCAGATGCCGAGAACCTTAGCCACTAAACCATCGTGGCGGGGCACTAATTATGTGGTGTTCGCTTGAAGGAAACGGGTTCCTACTGATTACAAAGAAAAGCACGTGTGTCTTGTTCTACAAAAAGAAGAGATTCATTCGGAACCCAATATTCAGCTGCATGAGCAACGTATTTCTGTTATTACTGAACAAAAATTCTTAGGCCTAATCTTGGACACCAAGCTAACCTTCATACCACACATCAAATATTAAAAAAAAATTAAGCTAACTACTGATTTCTTACTGATCACTTATAAAGCTAGTGAATCGAGACCCCGCGAGCGTGTCATGTCTCTATAAAGCGTCTGGTTGCACGGTGGTGTCTCCTGACCCCGGGTAAAACCCAAGACACTGTTTATGTTTGCTGCCCCATAATGCCACACACCAGGGTCACTCGTGATTTCCAGACGTTGGTGGCGAAATAGAAACTGGTGTACACTTAAACTGTGTTCCTACACCACTCCCCCTATCCGTACAGGAAGAGGCCAATGTGTTACACAATTTATGAGGTGGAATATGTGTGTGCGCTGAATCTTTTATATCCCAAATCGCACAGACTGAGCTTCATCGATTTACCAAGTCCCAAGCCAGTCACGAGCCGGCGCGCGGACGCCTCGCTGACAGGAAACGACGTGATCGGCGTCATTTGTCACGTGATGGGAGTGGTCCCGGGCCACGAGGTCAGGGCTTCCGGTGATCAGGCGCTCGCCGTATCGCCAGCGACGCTGCCAATTGCTGCAAAAATGGCTGCCGTGAAAGCAAATTTTGCCGCGCTCGCTAAGCTTGTCGCAGACGTGCTGCTTTCAGATGACGATGACGGCGAAATGTCGGATCTGCAGTCGGAGGAAGTACTGTAGGAGACTTCAGATCTCGCCGTTGCTGCCATGCTTGTCGCACAAATTATCAGGGAAGACCAACACCGGGTGCGGCTGTATGTAGAAAACGTGGTGGACAGCTACAGTGACGAAGAGGTCCGAAGACTGTTCTGTTTACAGAGGTGCACCACTGAGGTGATCATGGCCGACTTCGAGTCTTCGTCATACTATCCTCGTGGTGGGCGCGGAAGACAGAAAATAACAGCATTGAAGACTATGCTGATTTCCCTGATGTACCTGGGCACGCAGTGGTCCATGAATGCCATAGACGACAAGTTTGGTGTCAGCGAGTCGACGGTGCACGTCGCGATACGCCACGTTTTGGACTTTCTGCTGCCCATAAGCGAAAGAGAAGTACGCTGGCCTAACGACGAGGAGGCTGCACGAAATTAGCGTGCGTTTCGCGCGCTTGGTCGTTGTGACGGCGTCGAGGCTGGCCTGCCAGACGTCATCAGTGCCATTGATGGATGCCATGTTCGCATCACAAGACCCACAGAGTGTGAGGAGGACTACTACAACAGGAAGAAGTTCCACTCCATCATCCTCCAGGCTGTTTGTGATGCCGACAGACATGGTGTTCACGGATGTATTCGTTGGCTTCCCAGGCAGAGCACAAGACGCCAGGGTGTTGGAGGAGAGTTTTCTATTCGAAGAGGCAGCGTCGAGATTCGACGGTGAGCGAATAAGTAATATTCAATCGAATAATATCGCATTTTCTACAGGTTTGTTTGGCTGACAGTGGCCTTGATTGATTCTTGTCGCGCTAGGGTAGCTAAACAACCCCTGTTCTGGAGTGTAAGCAAGAGAATAATGTTAAGAGTACACACTTTACATGTTTGTAATAACTCATTATAATTGGCACTTCGAAGTAACTTTCATGTACATATGCAGGTGGATATCTTTAGGGGGATGCTGCGTACCCTCTGCTCCCGTGGCTGCTGCCACCTTACCGCCACGTCACAAGCAGCTGGCAGCCATTGATTAGCAAGTTTAACCATGTGCACTCCAAGCAACGTGGTGGTATTGAAATAGCATTTGGCCTGCTGAAGGGACGTTTTCGGCGATTGGACAAAATTGATGTTAACAGCATTCCGCAGGCTGTGGAAATTGTGATGGCAGCCTGTGTGCTGCACAACCTTGCCCGCAGACATGCCGATGTTTTTGAAGATAGTGACATTGCAAACAGCGACCTTGGCATATTCACCTGGAGCCAGTTGATGTTGACCACAAACCTACGTTGGCAGCAAGGCTGCGGGACCGACTGGCTCAGAGTGTGCCATTGTGATTGTATGCTCTGTGTTAATTTTGCTGCTTTTAGTGAACATCTTATTAACTCTTTCTATGTGAGCCATTGGAGTATGTGTCAGCTTATTATCATTACTTTAATTACTGTGATTGGTACGCTTTGAAGACGACGTGTTTTGTGGGGAGCAGTTTTATATTCAAATGTATTCTACTAGAGCAGAGTTTCTCAGCCATGAATATTTTCAGGACAGAAGAAACGATTTGCATCACTTGCATATTTTGGGGATCCATGTGGACTGGTGGAAGTGATGAGGCACCCCTCGCCTGAGCAGCTTGTAAATAAAACTGCCCTCATTCAAGCTTTTCCTAGCTTTGTTTCCTCTTCCAATGGGATCGGGCCCGCGTCTATATGATGTAGAAAAATTCAACAAGTATTTCACAGCAATTTTATAGAAAAAGCGATACATAAACGAGCTGCACCGCAATGCGAAATAGCAGCCAAATATCAATAATTTGAAAAGGGTCCAATTATGAGACATAATATGACTAAAAAATTCAACTTTTTTTCTGACAATGACATTTGCAAATTTCCTGGGCTCCAAGGAACTGCATTTAACGACCACAATACTAGAACACCGATATCTAATACATGACATTGTTGCGTAGAATTTAGTGTCCCGTTCTGTGTACACTCATCGTGTCTTCGGCTCACTCTTGATAGGAGTATGGTTCGCCTTAGTTATTCTAATAAGACTTCTTAGGAGTTTTTGGTCAATTTTCAACTATATTTTAACGACACTCTGAAGCAGGTGATTACGTGACTCTGTTATGGGCGCAGGGTCTAAAAACATGTGTTTACGTCTTCGAGAAAGTGTATGTTTTTTATGATGAGAAGGCATTTTTTTAGTAAATAACACCTTTCATGAGTATGGCTTCCAGCCACACTCTTTGAGTATGGAGCATTACTGTTTACTGCATAAGTGCACTGACAGTGTAAAGTATATTGCATTGTATGTTTGCTGCAAATGCCCTGAAGGCTGCCCGCATGATTGCTGAAAGCACTTTACAGTGTACTATTCAACCTGGCTTACGTTGATCCAAATGCAACCTGCAGCAATGCCATGGCTATGTTAATTCCAATAAGTTAGGCAGTGTACTACGGACCACTCATGATGCTGACTATTATTCAGGTTTCAAGTTTTTTTGCGACAGGTTTGAACTACTTACAGCAGCTTGGTTCAGTAGTGCAAAATAAGATGACATTTTTGTTCATTTTTTTCACATAGTCATGACATGTGTTGCTGTAATAATCTACGTACATGCAACATTGAGTCCATGTAAGTTGCTCTATTGAGCAGTGCATTTACTTGTTTCTTTATATTGTTGTTGAGCAGGAACTCTTTTTTGGACACATTATCCTGCCTAAAAGCAGCACGCTTTGATTGTGCTGGTTGCTTGCTACAGATGCTAACCACTGTGAATATATTATGGTTCAACTTGCCCTTTGGGTTGTTTACGACCCACGTAAGCAATGCTTTTTAAGGAGTGAAAGTTGGTTATAAATAAATGTGATATTTTTCCCCACATCAGCCAAAGGTGGTTGGGTCACCACGTGTGTGTAAATACGTGCGGTGTTGTTCTATGCAGCTGTCACTCACAGGAAAAATAAAATGCAATGTGTGTAGTTTGGCATACGATGAACCACCAAAATAGCTTGCATTATGATGGAATGTTGACAAACTGGATGTGATAAACTATTAAAAAAATGTAAGAGGGCTTTTTAAGCTTACCATTCAAGGCAGTGCATTTGTATGGCAAGCTGAATACAATAATGTTAATATACAATGGGCACCATTGTTGGGAAACACAGACCTACTGAGCGTCTGAGTTCGTGCAAATGCCCTTGCAGTCGTGGGTTCATTTATAATGATGACAAGTTTGTCCTAGTACATACAAGTAACACGATTTTTTTTAATTTGGGTTTGTAAACATTAACGCGAGAGGAAAGTTAAAACACCACTTTTTTCTTGTTTGTACCGCCAATGGTTTGAGATAAATATCTGCAAACAGTCTCAGCTCAGCCTTATTGGAATACAGATTGCAGTGGTCATTACTTATTGTTATAAATATTTCTGCAAATGTAATTCAAGAGTCACCGGTGCTGTTCGAAGCAAAAAACATTTATTGTGCTCTTTGGGCAACTTGCAAACAACACAAACGAGAACAAACACTTTATACGAGAACAAACACTTTAGAATAAGCACACCGAACACTTATGTTTCTAAATTACCTGACACCTGCAGATTACCGTATTTACTTTGTTGTAATAGTAGCATTTTCAAGGTTTTTCTCTACCTAAAGCAGCCGTCGCATTGCAATGTAGTACAAAATCACGCATGAAACACTTAGGCTTCTTCTATGAACTCAATGAAGTAACCCCTCGTGTCACAATTAAGTAAATACGATACTGCAGGAAAGGCCATTACCACACCTTTGCTCATTCTTCCCTATTGGTGCCCGCTTTGACCTGCTAGTGTGAAACCTGCGTGCACAGCTCCTTTGAGAGTGGCATTCCCTTGTGATCCCTCATGTTTATCATGGCCAAGTTTATGGAGGTACGTGCACAGCGACTTCATTCACGAATTTGATTGCAAATATGCCACCCCCCCTCAATCATAAAACAAGGTTGCCATGCACATGTACCTGTATTTATCTCTTTCTATTGTAACTGGTCCTTGCCAGGTGTGATCAAAAATATTATGAACACATGTGCTTAATAAACACCCATTCGCTCTAATTCCGTGTGGACATTTCTTCAATGGTTCTGTGTGTGTGTATGTGTGTGTGTGTGTGCTCGTTCATTTTGCCACTGAACAGTCCATTGCTCATTTCAATTAATCATTATAATCGAATATCTGAAAGAAAGACGTGAGGAAACATCAACTATTTTCCCACCCGGTCCCTTGTTCGCGCTATTTTCTCAATTAACATTGTACAAATCATGTTTGCAAAGCGCGTACGATTTGGTGCAATGTGAAGGGAACTTGTGTTGGGAAATTATGCATCAATTTACCGCCGTATAAGACGTACACGCGTGCATGTTAAACCTAATGCAAAACAGAAAGATGTACTGCACAGATTCACAAAAGCAGCTCACGACTCGTACTCGCAGGTGACGCGCCCATGCCCAGAGGTGTTGTTTTTCCGGCGCGTACCCAGGCAGCATCGTTTAAGGGTCCGACACTTCTTTTCAACTTGGCTCCCCGTGACGGCACGACCCGGAAAGTGACTGTTCAGTACTGTGGCGATATTTTCAAACATTTTCCAATTTTTGGGGTTGTTTTTGAAGGTCTTTTATTCTTCAAGAAATCTCAGAACTTTTGGTCGTGGCCTCAGGTCACACTCGCTCAACTCGCAGGGTTCAGCAAGTTGGGGCGTCACCTCACTGGGCAGCACCTCGCTGCTGTCGTCGCCTACGAGCGAAAACAAATGCGGCATTGTTATAGGGTGACATTAGGCGACGAAGAATAACAGCTACTACTGCCACTTTACGTGGACACTTACTGTTAACGTACAGCACTCCTTCGTCGAGCCTAGGTGTTCCATAGATGTTGGCTGGAAGCACGACGGTCTCGCCATCCTCCCAAACAAATACTTGTTCGGCGATTTAGCACGCGCAGCTGCGAAAAATCGGCCCACTAAAACACTCAAACGCCCACAGCTGAGTTCCCGCGGACACTTGAAAATGACTGTCGTGACGTAATAAACGTCGTCTGCTGCTGCCCGAAAAATTTGCACGAGCGGTCCCGAGCCGTCCGTGGGCCGCCAGGCAAGCGAAAAACGAACATGCGTCGAGCATTCCCGGACCAGTGGGCGGAGCTTCCGGTTGATCCCCGTGAAAAACGAATACGCGGGCTGGCGTCCGGGGCCGTCCGGAGCCGTCCGGGACCTGTAAATCGACGAAGCTCACTGACGCACAGTTCTGCCGGAACGAGTGGAGCAGAGATAGCCACTTTCAGAACGTGCTCTAGTCGCGGTGTCCCATGGTCTTCCCGAAAACAAGAAGACGGTGATTGGTTCGAGGCCCGGAAAGAATTTCAAAAAGATGACCAAAAATAAAAAAAAGACAATATGGTTGCCCCAATACT